TCTCACTTTTATATCATTATTAATACACATCCCAAATGTATCACAGAGAATGTTTTCTTTTCCTGTAGCTCAAGCAGAAGAGCATGGCACCTGCAACAACAGCATTATGGGGTTGATTCTTAGGAAATGCATGAGCAGATCAAATTTATGCCTATAATGCAACACTTGCTTTGGAACATCTGCCAAACCTTAACACATACATGTAAAGTAACATGTAGAAAGCTGCCAACTAGATGTACTTGTGCCCTAAATGATAGATTGTGCTCTGGAAAATACCTATTATTTGAAATTTATTGTATAACACTGTTTAAAACCCTTAATGTTGAACAGGTGCTGTATATAATCTCACATTTATTTTTACACTCAAGGGATGATTCAGTCCAATGAGTATGAGATTGCACATATAAATATTTTTTTTCTGTCACTGTTTACTTGAAAGTTTTCATGCAATCAGTTGAAAAAAAAGATTTCAGTGACGTTTCTGCTTGTTAGGGGAATTCATGACCAAGCACGATTTTTAATCTTGACAATGATAGTTTCTGTTACTATGTGGCAGGGGCGCCGTTACGGGTGGTGCAGAATATGCCAGGCATATGGGCCCAGGAAGCTAGGGGGCCCCAAATCACGACTTTGAATTTTTTTTTTTAAGTGCATTGTCTTGCGCTTTAACGGACAAATTCACCTTGCCAATTTGAATACTCTGTGAGTAACAACTCAGTTCAGTGTGTTGTTACTCAGACAGCCGCATCTCTGACATCTAGAGCCCTGCATTTCAGCCCGAGCCCGACGGGCCCTAACTTACGTCCCTAGGTCGTCCAATCAGGTGCTGCTCGATGTTCCGAGAGCCAGGTTAAAAAATAAAGGTGACCGAGCTTTTTCAGTGGTGGCACCTAATTTGTGGAATAGTTTACCTGTACACATAAGAACTGCTCAGACTTGGAATTTTTAAGTCGTTACTTAAGACACACCTGTAGGCTATTCCTTGGCTTTTATGTCGAGCTGAGCTGAGACATTGTGATGTTTTTACTGTATTTGTCTTGTTAGTGTGCGTGTTTTTTCCGGACATTGTTAAGCACTTAAGTCAACCATGGTTGTTTTTAAATGTGCTATATAAATAAAATTTAACTGAAATTTAACTGAAGAAAAAAGTGCAAGTTATCGCGCCGGCGCCTCAATGTCCTGCAGAGCGCGCTTAGCTTCCACTCTCCACACAAACAATTGATATGCACCTAATAGCGCACATTTTTAGATTAAACGTTTAAACTAAGGTTGTGATAATTTTGAAGTGTTTTATATCTAGAGATTTCATTTTAGGCAAGTCGTGTTGATTTGAGAAGGCTAAATTGATCAAACGTGATCAACTCATTGTCTGCCGCTGGCCGCTTAGTGGTTACTTTAAAAAAAAATGTAACAAACAAAAAATGTTCCAAACATAGTTCTCAATTAGGTTAATAAAGAAACGAAAAGAAATATAACCACTTTGCCATTAAAAACAAAACTGAACTATTTTACTGGATGCAACAGTAAAATAGCTGTGCAATGGGGAAGAGAGAGAGAGAGAGAGAGAGAGAAAATAGACATGGGCTCCAGTCTGACTCGGGCCGAGAATTCTGATAAACTGTCGGACAATTTATGTATAGTTTCTTTAAATTTCTTATTAAGCGTCAAAAGATAAAACACATTCATTTGGAAGAAGGGGACCCATATTTCTGTCTTGCATACCTCTCTTAAAACTCTTCATGGCGCCCCTGCTATCTGGTACTACAATTTAACCGTGTAACTCATTAAGAAAATAAAGTATACAGTGGGACCATGCATAACAGGCAAGGGACTTTACATGACAGGCATTTTGCAACCGATTCCATCTCATAACTACCCTGTAAAGAGTTGAGCCAAGAAAATGGGCTTGGCAGACTGTGTTCAATATGTTCCCTCACCTGTTTCTGCTGAGAAAACAGATGGCAAAAAGCAGATGTCGGATACATTTGCAATATGAAAGCAGTCATTTTCTTGTTGTCTCTCGCCAAGCTTCATTTTAAGTCCCAGTAGAGATTCCAAATAGCACACATGGGAAGATTTGTGAGTTATTTTCCTATTTATTGGTATTTGTTTAGATACTGAAAGCTCATCCATAGGCAAAACAAGTGAACTGGCTCTGCCTCATCCTTGAACATGAAGTCCAGGATGGTCTTGGTCAATGTCTGTCTGACCAGTCAGTGGTAGTTCAAACAACATTAGCCTGAGAACAGTTCCATCGCACTTCTTCAAGTCTGGCAATTCCTAGATTTCAAACTTTGTTGGGGAACTGCAATTGACAGCTCATCCCTCTACATGGTATTTAAACAAATGTATCATCATCAGTAGGTTGGAGTGTTTAAAGAAAATATCTCTCACATAAAAAACAGAACTGTCCTACGCAAACGTCTTTCCCTCCTGCCCTTGCCAATTGTCATCCACATGCTGAAAGAACACACTTTTTTGCCTTGACATCACACAAAAACCCAATTCATCCTGAACCCATGCATAAATGTAAAGTAGAAAGTATAGATACGTAATTGAACATATAATTGACCGCTCTGTGACTGGCCACTTTGCATGCTTCTCAAACAGTCTCTTCCTGTCTAATTGGGAATTTTAATCCAGGATAAATTGGAAAGTGGGACCGACTTTAAGTAATCAAAAGTCTGGCTACATGAAACTAAATATCTTTTAACCAAGTTCAAAAAGTCACTACTTTTTTAGAGTTTGTGATCGCTCCCTCATTTCACTTCCGCATACTTTAAAGGGCTCTTTAAGCTGATGGCCACGTGGGAGTCTCCGCTGAAGGTTGCATTGGCCACGGTGCCCACAGCAGTTGAGCATTCATCGAGACTTCATGCCAGGGAAAAGGATAAAGGGGAAGCAGAACAGAGGGCAGCATCCCATATCTACAGCCCTGGGGCAGTCAGTCTGTCTCCTCGTTCTGGGGAGGGGTAAACCTGTTAGGCCTGGCAGGGAGACTAAACACTACCCTCTATTGGATGACACAGAGATTGTGCATGGTGAGGCTTGACCCTCGCTCGAACCATGTTAAGGGTTACAGCAATGAGAACAGTGACCAAGCAATGAACTTCCAATCCGATCCGATCCGAGTCAAGCCAAGCTAGAATGCAATTGTGATAATACGCTTGAAGGACGTAAGCTACCTTTCATTTTGGAATGAAATTATTTTAGTACGGGTTTAGAATTAGAAGTTAGTTTACATATCAGGTTTTTAAATGCAGATTTTGAAATCAGTGTGAATTGCCGTTTGCAGCTCATTTTACTTTGTTACTTGACATTTCTCAGTGATACGTTGTTTAGATTAGGTATTTTTTATATATTTTAAAAGTTAAGAAATTATTAACAATTAAACTTTTTTTTAAGTGTTATGTAGATATTTAGTCAATAGATAAGTGCCATCTACAAAATGACTAGCGATGTTACATTTTGATTAAAGATAATGAAGACAATATTTTTTGTCTTTGCAATAACATGCACTGATCAATTGTTCACAGTTAGACCAAAAACATGTATTAAAAAAGTAAACAGTCAATCATAGGCTAAAGGACTTCAAAGAACTGTGGACACCAACTAACAGGCCAATGTATTTACGATTAACACACTTTTTCATTTATTCTTTGGTCCTCAATACAGGATAAAGGCTTTCTGCTTTAGAATATGAGATCTGCAGGACCACTTCCCACAGCGGCCGGTTCTGAACGTTTGAACACTTTTCATAAGTCTAAGTCTCAGACACTTTTAACACGTCCTCTGTTGGGAATAATATAAAATTAGACATGTCTCTTATGAAGTGGGCATGTGGCAATTTCAAATTATGAATTGGCCTGATTGGTTATACAGAAGGAGTACTTCTGTACCAAAGACACCAGTGTGTGAATTATATTAAGGGGAACTATGTTCAATTTTGAACTTCGCAATTTGTTTTTGTTTTTTTTACCTTGTAGATATTGTAAGTTCTGAAAGCTTCAAGTTACGCCCCAATATCTGACCACTAATATCCTGCCAGTGTGTCAGCTGCCACCTGGTGACAATAAAATGAAGCCTGACATCTGTCTTGAGCTTTGTAAATAACAGGCCAGTCTCTGCTTTATTAAGTCTCATTTTGAATTATAACATGGGGGCAGACCAAAATTACAATAAAGAGTGCAGGAAAACGTCAATAATTCTCACATTATCTCTGTCAATGCATCAGCTTACCACAAATGTGTAAACGTTGTTTCAGATCATGTTTAGGATATGGTTGTGTTTTCTTTTGCAAATCTGACATTATTGTGGTTATTTACCCTCTTTATCCCAAAGTAATGAGTCTTCCGGAGTCTGCACACAATGTTTGATGTTGTCAAAGGCTGTTATGACAAAATATGACACCGCTTTATAGCTGTAATGAGCAAAAGAGCAATCATATACAGACGGATTTCATAAAACCTGTCATATTTCACCCCTGAATTAAAAGAAATAAACAGTCTTTAAAAGAAAATGGATCCTATTTTTTGCATTGTGATGCCCACATTTTGGTATTTGTTGTCCAACTTTTAATGCTAAGAGTTCATGTTCAAAAAAACATAAATGTCTTAATAGTCACTCGACTTCATCATTATTAGTAAGCACTTCAATTCCCCTTCCCATGGATCAAATTACAATTCATTTACTTAAGACTTGTTTCTATTCCCACAGTGTGCAGGTTTATTTACAAATAAAGCTTTCCATTCTTGAAAGAACCTGCGGAAATCATTATTCTGTGTCAGCAGGAGCCTGTTAGAGACATGACTGTGACCTAAGAAAAGGAAACTTGTATTTTGGAAATGAGGCAGAAAAAATTGTGCAAGAGCTTTATAACAGCAAAATGAATTAGTAGGCATGTATTAATTTGAGGAACACGATTAAGGATTATAAAAAGGCCCGAATCAAAGCATAAGACACGTTATGTAACGATAATCCTCCTATGAATGACATAAAAAAAAAAAAGAAGACAGTTTAAAACCTTCACTACAGCAATAAAATCATATGTACATCTGCATAAAGTGTCCGTTTGGGAAGGTTGGAGAAGTTAGGTGGCCTCTCGACCGAAAGGCGCATGGCGGTAGGTTGGGTGTTGCTTCTGATGGAACTTTGTGGAAGGCCACTTAAGTGTGTGTCTTCTTAATCTCCACAAAAGCACGCAGTTATTGTTTAGGCTAGGAATCTGCAGGCTTCTAGTCCTGCTCCATAGGCTCCTCCTCTGCATTCTCTAAGTCCAGGGCCCCTGACCCAGAGTCGCCCTCTGTGGGTGACTCTACGCCACTGCTGCTGGATGTGGGTTCAGACGCATTTTCATCAGTGCTACTGCTGCTGACCTGCACGCTTGGCTCCTCCCCTTCTCTCACCTCAGGGCTTGAGTCCACGCTCGCCGGGGCTCTCTGCTCTGATTGGTCCATATCGCTGGGCTCTTCTGAGGAGTCATCAGAGCCACAGGGAACCTCTCTCTCAGTAAAAGCCTCTCTAGAATCTGCCACGGGACACTCGGGCTGTGTGCTGGAAGGCTCTACGTTAGCAAAGAGTAGAATATGTTAGTGCTATGTAGTGTGTAAACAACCTAAACGAGGGGGGGGAAAAAAATGTATGCTACCTTGGTCCTCAGTGCCTCCGGCTGAACCATGAGGTTTACTTTCCTCCTCTTCTTCACTCCCCTCTTGCAACATGGATGATGGTGATTCGGCATCCTCTGACTGATCTGAGGAGCTATTAGTTGACGTAGATCCGGGTGTCTCGACAACCTGCTGGTCTACTTCATCTTCATCCTCCTCTTCATCATTGCCATCCTGGTTAAATTTCAGCCTCTTCACTTCATGTTCCTCCGCCTCCATTCCCTCATCTTCCTCGTCATCTAAGTGTTTGTTTTTCACAGAGCTGCTGAGAGGCCCACCAATGCCTGATACAGATGCATCACTGGAACACAAAGATATATTCTGTATTTCTGTAATGTAAAGGATATTCAGGGCTGCTGATTTTCAAGCGGTTTAATTATTCATCATGTGAGAGAAAAGTGAACATGTCCATTGATTTAACCATCAGCGTTTTACACACATCAGAACATTTGTATCTAACTCTGGAGACCTTTGACTTTGCTACAGATATTAATGAAAAGTGATTTAATTTAAAATATCTTTAGGTTAGATTTAAACCATTTAAGGAACAACAAATTATACATAGCCACATTATAAAACAAAACAAAACAACATGACATGATTATTTAGATTTGTTTTTATGTTCAGTGCTTTCCAATAAATTTATGTATTTCTCGGCATTTCATTTTTGCTGTCCACCATCTCTGGTCTGTCTTAAGTATGTTTCACAAATAAAATTAGAAAGGAAAAAAAAAAAAGCGTGAAAGATCAGATGAGATGAGATGGCAAACTTAGGGTGCCTTCACACCTGTAGATCGATTGCTTTGTTCCGAAACAGGGATTCAAATTATTACAATGTTGCTTTTTATTTTTTGGTGCAGTTCGCTTTCACACGGCAAAGTTTGTAAACGGACCAAATTTGTTAATACAAGTCAAGCGCGAGTAAACCGTTCTCTCATTGGTCAAAGTTCCACGGTTTATTTTCCTGGATTCCACCGCTGTCACGCATGTCATCCGTCAGGATGGAACGACAACAGCTTTGCGGGTTTATTGTTGTTATTTTTTGTAGCTGTCGTTATATTAATTTATCATTTTGAGCAGGAGTCCAGGATTCATCGGGAAAACATTTTTTAAAATGCACCTACTAGGAAGAAGAGCAATAAGACCGCATTATAAAGTGAAAATGTGCGCTTTGATTTTGAATGGAGAAGACGTGCTCACCCACAGACATTCACAGGTTCATTTTGAGGTATTAACAAAACAACAAAGCTAATGCTTTTCACAGAACTTACGTAATTACCCATTATACATTGTGATTTAGCCTGGTTCGTTGGTCCGTTAGATGAGATTGCTTTCTCACTACAACCAAACTGCTCTGGAGTTAGTTTTTAATTGAGCCGAGACCACCTCGTTCAGGCGATCTCGGACAGATTGTTTTGGTGCGGATCCGAGCGTGATTGCCGTGTTCACATATGCCCAAACGAACCGAGCTAAGGGGGGAAATGCGCCAGGTTCCGAAACATCGGGCCAGGTGTGAAAGCACCCTTAGCCTACCTGGCCGATTTGCTGTGTCCTTGTGCTGTGCTCGTCTCTTTGTTTTCTGTACTGTCCGGAAGGCCATTTGTGGGCAGTGAACTGGACATGGAGTGTTTCTGTCTGTTTAATGGTCTGGGCGTTCCAGGACCATTCACTTTCCTGTAATATAGAGAGAAATCAAGTTTCATGCTCATTTTTTTTTAAATGACTAGTCCTGAGCTCCATATACTTTCCTCACCTCTCTGTAAAGGTGGTTATGTTCCCTGACAACATGACTCCATTCATTCTGTTGACACCGCTGCAGCCATTCTTCCTACAATGAGGCCAGAAATAGCTCTTCATTCATCTACGGTAATTAGAGGTGTCTAAGCATTCAATTAATATGTAGCATCTTTACATTTTAATAGTGAACAGTAATTACTTACTCAGATGTAGGATAAATGCAACTGACCACCATCACATTCTGATGAAGTGAGAAAACAATCAATATCAATAACATAAACGATGCAAATTCATTTACAACCTCCTATATGGGAAAATGTGCAGCGTGAAAAACTTTAAGTTGGACTAAAATGTGGGCCTTGATTGGTAATCAAATCACTTAAGCACATAAAACGCATCGATGAGTCAAAGTTCCTCCAGCACATGATAATAAAATCCACTTAGCAAACATTTGAAGAGACAAGTGTGTAGAACACTGTAAATGATCCTCTAGATTTATAAATCACACCTGCAAAACAAATACATTTGACCATAAATCAACAGAGCCTTTATGGAAGTCAAAGATAGCAAGTAATAATATCTCACATCTGACTTCGGATGGAACAAAACTAGTATAAAAATGCAAACAAAAACTGAACATACTGGGAATGAACTGTCATTTATATAAGAACAGGGTAAAGGAGATAAAAGCATTTGATAGGAAGTGCACCATTACACACAACTAAACAGCGTCCATTTGGCTATTAGTTCTTGAACTGTACAATGCATCATACACTGACCTTCTCTACTCCTCTGAGAAATTTTTCTGTTCCTGAGTAGTTCCTCCTAGGTTCAGTGAGCAGCTCGCACAAGCGCTGGATAGTGAATGGGATCCTGGATAGGGAAAATGATTATCTGCTGCATCCTCCACAACAGTGTAGGCTAGGTTATATTCAACAGCCAGAAGATGGCACGCTTGCTCTGGGGTAAAAAGACAGGCTCTCTCTTTTTATCCAAAACATCATTATGGGACACTTATTACAGGGGAAAAACCCAGTGCTTTTCTGAAAGGAAAATTGGTGATACCACCACACTGTGCAATTAATTAGCATGTTACTCACCCGTTGTATCCATTGACTATTTTAAGAATTCTCTCCTTCATTTCTTCAAAAGGAACCGACTCTACATTGGGGTTGGCCGGCCCTCGTTGCTCTGGGGCCGATGCTTGGAAATCCTCCATTACTTTCTCCAGTTTGAATATGAAGTAGCTTTTAAACTGAGACCAGGACACCCTGAAATGCGACAATACAAAGCATTAGTAACTCAAACACACAGACAGCTAAAATTAGTAAGAGACAACATCTGCCGGTCACGATCCTTCTTATTACACGGCTCCCAACCAAATAAATGAGCATGAAATGTTTATATTTGAAAATATATATCGTTAGAAGAGACCAGAGAGATATGAGAGAACAAACACAACTATGTAGGATCAAATAAACACTGCAACACAGTTCAGGTCATTATGCAAAAATAATTGACCACAGAACTCAACTGGCCAATCAGAAGCAGGTTTTGCAGAGACATACATAGATTCAATCTTCTGATATGCATCTGACTATGTATTCTCACAATTACTTCTTGAAATGAGAGCAGGTCGTCTAAAGCAGATCTAGTCGATAAGTACAAGGTTCAGCGTGTTTTGGAACAAAACCAAAAGTGCTGTGGTAGTGCAATAAACCACCTTGTGGCGTTACACCAGAAAAGTAGTTACGTTTTAAAAAAAAGAGGTCACACAAAGGTAAATGGGGTTTCTATGCCCCTCTGGAGGTACTCACAGGGTTTCCCCGGTTTTCGCAATATGGCACAAAAACTGATCCAACACTGAAGATGACTCTTTCTTCACCTTCTTGTCAAAATCTGTGGCAAACACAATAATAAGATGGCATTATGGATTTCATATAAACACATGTACTGGAAGCAATTGAAGCAACTTCCGACTTTAACATATCTTCAATTCGAAATCTAGTAAGTCCATTCTAGTTCTGACGTATATCTGCTTTCATGAAAAATAAATGCATTTATTATTAACTTCTAATCTCACTTTTTAAATGTTAACATAACAACCACAGTGCACCTGTTGCTAGGTTTAGGTCATATTCAAGCTCTGAAATCAGCATTTTACTTTCTACAACTATTAAGACACCCCAGACAATACCTATAATTGCTCTTGGAATAATATGTATGCGTTCCTGAAAATTAGAACATATAAAACGAGAACATATATCATTATTTTCCAAGAAGAGTTAATAAAGTAAGCAGTACAACTATAATGACACTAAACAATTGGTTTCGAGTCTACAGAATGATCTTCAAGATCCAAAACCTCGTGGTACTTATGAACACTAAACTATAACCAGTCCAGCCCTGAACTTTTATGAAAAATATGACAACATATTAAAACATTTTCCTAACACACTTACATAAGAACTAGTACAGGTACAATAAATCTGAGTTTTGTCATTAAGTCATAAAAACTATTTACACCACTCCGACTATAAATACATTATATATGTAAGAATGAGAAATTATTAACAACAATAATAACAGTAATTATAATAATAATATACAAGTTAGTAGCAGAACAGTGTACAACTCCAATTAAGGTGTAAACTCCAAATAAATCACGTTATAAAGAAAACTTATAAAGAAAATCGGACTTTATTATTAACATTTTTCACTAGTTTAGAGTTAACCCTGAATAAACGTGTGCAATGTACTCAAATCAACTCTACATCATCCAAAACCACTAACTAGTTATCTCAATCAACAATAGTCTTGTTTATAAACGTATTACTTAACTAAACCGTCGTTCAAAAAAAAAAAAGAAAAAAGATAGAAGTCATAAAATAGGAAAAAGAAACCAGTTGATCTGCTCTTAACCCACAACAGACCTCGAAAAACAGGAAAAGCCATTTAGCCACAGGCCATGCTAACATTAGCTAACTCACATTACCAGCTCATAAGCACATATAACTCCTCTCTAAACTCAGACCACCTCAGCACACACAGCCGGGCACCTTTAAGAGCTTCCAGAAGAGTGTCTGTCTCCATGTCTGTGTTGTTGTTGTCGTCCCTGTCTCCAGTTGGAAAGCGAGAGCTGATGGCTGCTGTTGAGCTCAGTGAAGAAGAGGAGAAGGGAAACATTTCAATATGGCGGCGTCTGCGACGTCACTGCCGGCCGCTTCGGGAGCGCTGACTGTGTGTTGCGCAACAGTGTGGCTGCGTCTCAACATTTTGTCAGCTGCTCACCTAGACATCATTTTTGGGGCTTTGTAGGCGTAAAGTGTTTCGTAAATGTGCCTTGCAAGTTGCAAATGTGCCAAAACCTAGTGAGCTGCCCATGTAGACAGCATGTTGGAGCACAATAGGCGCGATTTGAATACACTTAATGCCCTTAAATGCTGTCAAGGTAGGTTCAATAGGTTTTTAAACACGGCCCGAATATCTTGTGCAGCCGATTTATAATTGAACGCTCATCTTCCTGTTTGTTTGAAAGCAAGTATGACTCATCTCACTCTCAATTTGAACCTGCTGTAATGAAATATAATGCAAAACTAACTGTTAGGCAAAGTCAAATCAATATTAAACGCATATTTATTTATTACATTTCTGACATACACACTTATGTATAAAAGGACAATAACACATACAAATGCAAGACATTCAGAAAGACAGAAAAGCACATTGGATACAATGAACATCGCTGGTGCATCTCTTCACACAGAGATAACATGAGATGTATAAGAGTCTCCGGAGTTTCCAGTTAAAGAAATGTCATCACTGATCCCAGACCAGTGACAAGAGGCTGGAAACTGGTCACACATATAATTAAGCACATTGTGCTAATGAACATATCAAAACACACACATCACAACACATTCTTGCCTTCTATATTCTTACTGTCACACTGAAACAGTCAACAAAATAAAAGGCTGCAATTACACAAAATAGAATGGATTTCATTTTTTTTAAGAGATGGGTAAACTGATCATACGGGGTGCAGAGTGTTTGTTTTGTAAATCTTGCTATTTTTTCCTTTAATTTTATTTTCTCCAAATTCAGTATTAAAAAGGGCACTTAACTGTAAACTGTACAGCTGTGCATTGCTTTATCTTAGTTTTATTTTTTATGTATACTGTTATTGATGTGCAAACCTTTGTAATCAGTGCATATGATTTATTTTAAATGAGCGTATTAGTTAAATCCCACTATGGCAGAAGTTCAAACTCCTAACAAAGCACAGGGTAAAACAACAAATGTTTCCTTTAAACTTGACCGGTCTGAATATTGCTAAAAAATACTTCTGACATTTAGACCTTTTGCGTAGCTCCCAGACTGTTGCAGATTATCCTAAAAAAAACATTCCACCACAAATTCAACATCAAATTCATTATGTCCATCAGAATAGGCGTGTCGTATCAATATACAGGACAACAGACTTAAGAGGAATTGAGGCAGTAATTAAAGCAAAAGGAGCCCCTACCAAGTATTGAGTACATGTACAGTAAATGAACATACTTTCCAGAAGGCCAACAATTCACTAAAAATGTTTTTTTTTATTGGTCTTAAGTATTCTAATTTGTTGAGATAGTGAATTGGTGGGTTTTTGTTAAATGTGAGCCAAAATCATCACAATTAAAAGAACCAAAGACTTAAACTACTTCAGTCTGTGTGCATTGAATTTATTTAATGCACGAGTTTCACAATTTGAGTTGAATTACTGAAATAAATGAACTTTTCCATGACATTCTAATTTATTGAGATGCACCTGTATATATTAAAATGCAACCCCAATGACAAAATTATAACACCAGGCTTCTTTCTAGTAGTCTTACTGACAAGTCATCTTCAATGTAAACAGTGTGATCATCCACCATTAGGGCTGTGCTTAACCACTGAATCTTGCTGAGCTCTAAAGGCTGACAGGCTAGTTCTCTTTGGTTGTTTCTGCATGCTACATTCATTTGTGTGGCTTGAAAACAAGGCGTTATTTAGCAGCAGAATGCACAAACAAACTGCTGCAGCCACTTAAGGACAAGAATTAGATAAATTATACTGAGACACAAATGCTCCAATTGTGTAATACCAGACATAATGAACTAGATGCTGAAAAATGGTACAACACAGTTGTAAATAAACAGTTATGAATACATATTTTTGGATTGGCTAAAAACAGCTTTGTCAACGAGTCTCTCATATTCTTTCAGGAACATTCAGGTGGAGACACGCGATGCATTTGGTCACTTCTCGGTTTCAAGAGTTTTGATGGTATTCCATTCATTCTGCATTGCGGTTTCCGTTCAGCAGATCAAAACGTCTGCTCAAATGAAACTTCCAGCTTAAATCTCCAACTCCTCTGGCTCATGAAGCTCATACTGTGCCTAATGGACCAAATGTAGCTTGCCTTTGGCACTGATCGTCTTCGATGAAAAAGATCACTCTGATTCAAGCAGCGGGCCGAGATTCTTCCTTATGATGCTGAAATGCAGTCGAGGCTCATTACTCGTGTGGCAGTCGGACACGGCGCACCACTTTTTTCTCATAAACAGCCCTCATGGTCTTCTCAATCTGTTTGAGGAACACTTGTGGTATCCTTCCACAAAGGGTGTTAACTGTGTCTAGGAACTTAGTCTGAAGAGGGTAAAATAAAGACTGGAACAAGTTCTCCTCAAAAGGATACTGAAAGAGAAGATGAAATACATTAGATTTCAAAGTGTTCAAGGAACTGTTTTGGTGTATTTGTTGAGGCACAAGGTCCACATTTCATATCTGACTGAATTCTGAACAGCAGAGGGGCCCACGTGACTCAACCATACAAAAGGCTTCCTCTTGAAGAGACACTTTCCTGCTATTAGTCTTCAAGCAGAGATTAAAGGAGACTGTACTCTGAATGCACAATGCAACACAATTTATTCTCATATGATTCAACACCCTCAGGATTTGCTTTGTTAGCACTGAAAATTAGAAAGTGGACTGGCAAAGCGAAGACAAATGGATTACATTTCTTAAGCTTAAAATCTAATCCAAAAATTCAAGTCAAACAACTGGCTTTTACATTCTCTGAAAAAATATTGATTGTGTGCCTATAGGTGTTGCTATGTGGTTGCTAGGGTGTTCTTACTTGTTTTTAGTGTACTGCTATGGGGGTGTTTTTTATGTATAGTAAAGACATTTAAATGTTACAAAAGAATTTCAAATAAATGTTTAAATTAAATGTTGTTCTTTTTAACTTTCTATTCAAAGACTCCTGAAAAAAAATTAAGTAGCACAACTGTTGTCAACATTGATAATAATAAGAAACGTTTCTTGAGCATCAATTCCAACATATAAGAATGATTTCTGAAGGACACTCAAGACTGAAGTAATGGCTGCTGAAAATTCAGCTTTAAATTATATTAAAGTAGAAAATAGTAATATATACATCTGAATACTTTCCGTACCCACTGTATATATATATATACACACATACATACATAAATGCAGCCTCCTTTTAACAACATTTAAAATAGAAATAAATAAATACTTGTATGCTAGTATGCATAACATAAGGTGTCTTTACAGAGCCAAGTTTTTATGCAACGCTGCGTAAAAGCCAGACTAAATTAAGCATGCTTTGACCCGCCTCAGACCCTAGTATCAAAGAATACAGTTGTAATTGCTGTGAAAATGCATTTATGCCACCTCTTAGCAGCATTAAACAGTCTGGGTAAAAACACCTAAATGCCACTTCAGAAGTGCTTCTGTGCCACATTTTTGCAGTGTAAATTTGGCAACATATTATTATCAGTCTAACAGTCTAGGGCTGGGCGATATGACCAAAATCTTATTTTACGTTTTCATTAACGATATGTACCTCAATATCGCCATTTGTATTTTATTTTTGTTATTAAAATTAAGAAAAAGAAGCAAATTACAAGCACAGCAGAACAAATAAATAGGAAATAAACTTTTAATTTATTCAGCTACAGTAGGCTAGGTTTATTTAACATGTAGTAAGAAATATTCCAGAAATTGAATAAAGTGTATAAATAAAACACTGCATAGTCTTCACTGTATCAATCAAACATGATTAACATTAATAATGACAGACAGCAGCAGGTAAATAAGGCTGCTGTCCCTTTAAGACCAACTGCACAGATCCAATATACTGAAACACGGTTTTCACCCAACTGTTTTACATTTATTTAACATATATCCGACTTTGTTTACTTGAATACTCCACACGACGGGCATTATGACATAGCTGTGTGCGTATTTGACCATTTAAGCACAGTAAAACACATAAGAGATCTGTTTTTGCGATCGCATGCTGTCGAGAGAGGGGCTTTCAGTGCGTGCGCTTCGGCTGTGTGTCAGTCAGCGCGAGCACAGCATTGAGTTCTTTTTCACTGCTTATTGCACTTAATAACTCTACCAAGTGCATCCCACTCTTTGTTTTCTCATTCATTCATGTTTCCTTATCACTCAAAAGGTGTATAACGTTTAAGCAGTACTATGTTACGCAGATATATGTGCATACCGCGGAATACACAATAAAGCAAAATCTCTAACGATAGACACTTTATTTCGCGGTAACAATATATACCGTCATACCGCCCAGCCCTAGCCATTCTATTAGTTTTATCATACAATGATAGTAGCAACTCACCTCACGTATGGCATCATACACCACCCTGAAGGCGGGCTGCTTGTCGTCATGGTACACGCCACGGTTACCATGAAGAATAGACACCCCCTCTTCTTCCGCAGCCTTGCAGTTGCTTCCATACATGCAGTGATCTGGCCTGTAGTTCCACTGGCATGGAAATATGTACAAACACTCTGCAGACACAAATAAAAATATTCAATGTTTTATCCAAACTGCAAATAACTCACTTGTGCTTGTGAGTATCTTCATTTTTCTTTTATTTGCCGGTGATTGGGGTTGGTCTACTCTTTTGGATCTGTTCCATAAGAGTTGTCAAACAAACACTATGCTTGCCAAGTGTCTCACCAATTCAGAGACCTTAAAGGGATTGTTCACCCAAAAATGAAAATGCTATCATTAATTACTCACCCTCATGCCGTTTCAAACCCGCAAGACCTTCGTTCATCTTCGGTACACAAATTAAGATATTTTTGATGGAATCTGAGAGCTGTCTGACCCTGCATAGACAGCAACGCAACTGAAATGTTCCCAAGTCCAGAAACGTAGCAAGGAGATCTGTAAAATAATCCATGTGACATCAGTGGTTCATCCGCAATTATACAAAGCTACGAGAATACTTTTTGTGTGCAAAAGAAAAAAAAACGACTTTATTCAACAATTCGTCTTTTCCGCATCACCCTGGTGCCATT